CGTGACTAGATCCTATACGCGGACTCATAACATTTATCCATCACTAATTTTAAAAATAAATCGTCACTAATTTTCATTGCTATTCCGTCGTTATTCCAAAAATAAAATTGTCATCAATCCGTCGTTATTTTCGAAAATGATTTTTTTTGCAATTCTTTTGCTTTTGTTCACATTTTTAGAAATTATATTATATTATTAGTATGACATTCAATTATTAAAATTAATAATAATAAATCATAAGTAATCATGTATATATGAAAAAGAAATAATATTAACAAAATCATTCTAGAATACGTTTCATAAAAAAATAACAAAACAAACAAAGTGATTGAATATTATATCACTCATTCTACTTATCTAATCTCATATCCTTATCTTCATGCTATGTTGAGTGCTCGACCTGGAGGATTGAATGGAGGCTAAATTGGAGGCTCGAATGGAAGGACTAGTAGTACATTTTTTTATTTGGAACAAGTTTTCCTCTTCTTGAGCCTTGACAAGAAATTCGATATCGAGGGTGTTGACAAACTCGTATTTATCTAATTCATTGTCTTCTTTCCAATAAATCATACACCAATTATGAAAATAATAAATTTTTTCCACCGAGTAAACCCATACCCTTCACCAGACTTCTTTGTTTCATAAAAGTTGTTTGTCATACGATTATCAACCGAGCATCAACTCTTTTATCAACTCACATAACCGATCGAAATACTTTTTTGAAAAATGATATTCAGCTTTTAGGTTAAGCATTCGAGCAATCGCTAATAATTACGAATGTTCATCACAACCGAGCCAAATCTCTATACGTGATGCATTCAACATATCATAAAATGTGTTGGGCGCTAGGATTAGAAACCTCCTTCATGTTAAACGGATTAAAGGATGAATTGATCGCATCCATTACCATACTTTGATATGGGTTTTGGGGCTTACTAAAACTACCTTCACCCATATAATAATTTTCTAAAACATGCCGACTCCTTGAATTTTCGGATGTCATATAAGCTTCAAATTCACCATAATGCACCCAATTATAATATCCCGGCACAAAACCTTCACGACACAAATGATATCTCGACCATGTCAATCTCTTTATAATTTTGATTTCAACATTTACCGAAGTTACAAGGACACCTAATTTTGGTTCCGTCCATGCATTCAGGATGCTCAACATCAAAAAATAAAAATTGTTTTACTCCTCCGACAAATTCATCATTTAACAATCCATTAACTAATCTAAAATTCATCCATTGTCGATCGGGTCTTATTTTTTAAATTACTCGTAAAAATAACGTAACCATTGAAAACAATTACTTGTCATCATTTCGAATTATTTTAAACAAATATTAAACACATATATTAGTTGTATAATTATCTCTAATTAGTTATGAATTTTGTTTAAGAATTTTACTTCCTATTTAAATAATTATTTAAAGAATGATTATATTTGTTTAATAAATACTTAATTTGTTAATATTCAATTATTTTTTGTGTAATTTTTTAATATTTTCTACCTTAGGTTCAATATATAATAATGTTAACCTAACCTAAATAAAACAATTAATCTAATTTAAACTCCCTTAGGTAATTTAAGGTAATGATATTATCATTTTCACTTAAAATACATGAAATTTTATACTTATTAAACCAATATACGTTAAATTACATTATCACCTAAATATTTTATGAAAACATTCAACTAAAACATTTATTTAATTCTAGTAATTAATAAAATATTTATAAATTTTTAACATTTTTAAAGTAATTTAAGGTAATTACATTATCATTTTCACTTAAAATACCCGAAATTTTATACTTTTTAAACCAAAAAACGTTAAATTACATTATCACCTAAATAATTTTTTAAAATATTCAACTAAAATATTTATTTAATTCTATTAATTAATAAAATATTTATAAAATTTTAACGTTTATGTTAATTTTTTAATTACATTTTTATTCAATTGTTTTTCAAACTCGATTAAATCATTATACATATTATCTTATTTCAATTTTAATAATTAAACTAATAAAATTACTTATAAAATTTACATTCGAAAAGACTAAACTACTTCACAAATTATATAATTTCAACCAAATTTAACTAAGCTTCTGTCAAAAATAATATAATTTCAAAATGAAGTTTAAACAAACAACTAACCAAATTAACCTATGACACTAAAAACAAATAAATATATAATTAATTCAATTAATTATACTAACAATTTAAGATCAAATAATTAAATTTTAATCTAAAAACTCAAAATTAACAAAATTTAAATTTTCAAGCTTTACGTTAACATACAAATTAACCTAACAATTAAAATAACAACAAAATAAAACTTAGCAAAACAAATCTAATAAGTATAAAAATAAAATAACTAATAACTAATTTAAACTACTACATACAAATTAACATAACAAGATAATTAACTACATTCAAATAATTAATAAACTAATAAATAAAATAATTTAACTAAAAATATATAACATTTATCTAACTTAAAAAAAATATAAAAGTTAGAGAGAGAAAATTTACCCGATAGATCAAGAATATAGAACACGGATCCGATCCGATTTTAAGGAAGAAAGATACCCCTTACTTTGTTGAACGCTTTTGAAAAAGATTTAGTTGCATGGGGCGGCGTGGTGATCGTTTTTCTAGTCGGCGCCGAAAGGGGATGTGTGGTGGAGGTGAGGGAAACAAATGGAGAAGAAGAAGGAGGGTGGTATATAATGGCAAAATAGCGACGGATCCGAATTCGTCGCTATTTCGTCACTATTTTGGGAGGAAATTTCCCCCAAAAGACGTCCGTCGCTAATTAGTGATGCACGAGCCGTCCGTCGCCAACATTCGAGGGGCAATTCCCCCGAAAGCTAGCGACGGACTTCATCCGTTGCTAATTTTTTGCCAAAAAGTGACAAAATTAGCGACAAACTTAATATTTGTCGCTAATCATCCCAAATAATGATGATTTTAGAGACGAAATAAATTTCGTCGCTAATTTTTTCATTTAACGACCAAATTTTCGTCGCCGATTTTGGCACTTTTTTTCGCGCCTTATTAAGCGACGGATGTTTAATCGTCGCTAAGTATCCCTCGTTAGTCCGTCACTATGCCATCACAAAAAATATTATTTTATAATCCGTCGCTAATCCGTCACTAAATAGCGACGGAATATAATATGTCGCTAATTTTCGTCGCTTTTTCATATTGTTTTTGGTAGTGTTACACCATCAACCCTACTAATGACGAGCTTCAAAAGGACTACGAGGCTACGAAGGAAGCGAATAAAGGGATGCAAGTGAAATAAGATGAGCTCCAAAACCCGGTCACAAGGCACCGGACTACTATAAATAGTCTTAAATCTCGGTACGACACGATGACTCCTTAATGATGCAACTAGCACGGACAACCGAGGTGCCTATAGGTCCGTCAACTAGTCGGGATCTTACCGTTCCTTCCACGTAGCCTCCCGTCTAGCCTCCTATCGAGCCCTCAACACGGTTTTAAGAGGAGGATAAGGGATTAGATGAGTAAGATGAGTGATAACACATACATTTTGTGATTTTTTTTTTATCAAATGTACTACTAAATATTATTGTTAATATTAATTTATATTTAATCTATACGTTATTACTTTTAATTGTTAATTATTATGTACAATATTAATAATTAATTTTTAAATACAATATTAATAATTTAAAAATAAACAAAATGTAAAAAAATATTTAATTTTTTTTTTAAAAAAAATAGCGACGAGTATAGCAACGGATTAGCGAAAAATTCATCTCTTACATTTAGCGATGGAATAGTGACGGACTAGTGACGACCTAACTTAGCTTCGGATATTAACAATAGATAATCAATCGCTACTCAATGACAGAATTAGTGATGGATTAGCGACATTAGCCACAACAGGTCCCATGATGAAAACAATGACGGATTCTTGAATTTTAGCGATAGAATTTTCGTCGCTAAAATAGCGAAAAAATGAATTTATCTATTACTAAAATTAATGACAAGCAATTTAGTGATGGACAAATCTTTCATCGTTGATCCGTCACTAAGCCATATTAGCAACGAATTAAGAGCAAATAGCAATTGAATAATACGTCTCTAATTGCTTTTTTTTTGTAGTCATATTCTTTAACAAGTGACAGCGTAATACTATTGATTCAGTCACTTAATTTTGTAATTAGAATCAAGTATGATAAGATGTATATTCTATAATATTTTTTTTTTAACAGTTTCTATATCATTTAGTACGCAACACGTAATAAAGAAATTTGGGTACCCATAGCCCTAGCATTACCCCATAACATTAATTTATCGCCAATTGATTCATGTGTTTCAAACGTAAAGTAAAATTTAAATCAGCAGCCTATATTCTAACACCAAGATCATATACCAGTGATCTGCATCCTCAAACACAACTACATATTTCGGGCTTAATTTTGGAATTTCTTTGCATGATTAGGACTTGGGTATACTTTAAAATGAGTCTGCATTTACTACTTAAATTCATCTATATTTTTCAGTATACATCCGGTGAGTGGAGATGCTGAAAGTGAAAGATGTGGATGCATGCTGGCTCTGAAAGTTTTTGATAAGATCTGCTTAGAGTGAGATCTGCCGTGGGAGTGGAACATGCCACATAAAACTCAAATACCAAACTACAGTCACTAATTATTCACCACAAAATAAAATTTAAAAAAGAAAAGCAAAAAACGAAAAGCATTAGCCCGCCATTCTATCTTTCTCATTGTTGCTTACCATAGCTTGTTCGATTCTCTCATTCTGCAGAACTTAATCTAGGAACTTGGAAAGCATGCACACGTACAATGAACATAAACTATTCTTGAATACATGATTTGTTTTCTCAGTCCCCTTGCTATATATGTTCTTCATTATCCAATTAGTCCATCGAGCTGCTTCTCTTGTTGGTTTTCAAACTTGGAAGAAAATGAGTAAAAAAAAAAAAATACCGAATCGTCTACTTGTTAAACAACAAATCTTGGGAGATGAAAGCAGCCCATGCATTCTGTAATCACATACACCAAGAATGATATATATCAGATCTTGTGTTATTGAAACTAGTATATATTCACGAAATAACAACCTACGTAAACCAACCATCCCAATGTCTTAAATAATTTTTGTTGGTCTAGGTTGCAAGCAGAGCAAAAATTCACCTGCAGGATGGAAAAGGCCTTCTCTGCAACATATTTCTGTGGAAGTGTAGCTCCTCTTTGTTGCAACTTGTCAGGGTGGAGACATAGCCTTGCTTTCTGATAAGCTTTCTTTACTTGGGAGCTTTCGATAAGGCTTGTTAGTGGGATTGCATACCAACCACTGTTTGGCCACAGAATCTGCATTCACTCCTCATTTCATCAAAACATTAATTTATTAATTTGGCGAAGCTCTCAAATTAAATAAGCAAAGGAAAATGCTGAAATACGTAATAGCTAAATCAGAGGGTATATCTAATTACGTGATGTAGTGTCGACAGCAGCAGACGGATGTTAGTTTCCTTGCCAGCTGACCACAAACTAATGTCTTCATCCAATAGCTCCATCTCCATCTTAAAAAAAGAAAAAGAAAAAAAGAGCATCCATATATTCTCATTACTAGTTTTCTGGTGAGTTAATTTTGCAGTACATGGAGGTTAACATACTCTTTCAAGTAAATATTTATGCTATAAATCAACATGTTAGCTCAGAAGCTTACATCTTTTGCTGATTGTTGTTCATCTCCTTCTCTTCTGGATTTTTTAAGTTCATTTCCCTGCAAAAGTACAAGGGAAAATATCCACAGAATTATACTTGTTCCCACTTGAAAATTTTGATTTCTCTCCTCATCAGAACAATATTCATATTAGGAAAAAGAACACAAATGAATTATTCAAAAGTATTAGTTTTTCTCTCGATTCATTGTTAAAATAGGGTATTTGAAAATCTTCTCTCGATCCCTAGAATGTGAATAAGTTTAAAACTTTGAAATGAACTAGAACATTGGGAACTTGGGTTTACAATACTGCTAAAGGTTTCATGATCTACCCATGAAATAGCTACAACGCCATCGATGCTAAATGCCTTTAATTTTTACAACATAGGAAATGATTCGGCACATACCAAAGCTAACTAGAATGTAGCTAGACATCAGTACTGCTATATATATCTAGTTTGTCTAACTGATACACTGTTCTATGAGCTATTAAAATATTTCATCATTCTATCACAATCCATTTGTTAATGCTTTGGGGAAAAAAGAATGGTTTACCGTAGTAGAATATTGCCTACTTCCATGTCCATCCATTTGATGCCCAACAAAATCATGCATATTAGGCCTTTCTGCATAATTTCGATGAGAAAGAGAAACAAAATGTGTAAATTATCATTAGAAATTCTCAATCAAATCTCAGATAAAACATAAAGATATTTCTTCACCTTCCACTTCATCTGAGTGGTGGTCTATCAAAACATTTTCATGTTGTCTGTCAAAAGATTGTGACTGGAATTTCTCCTTAGCCCATGCAATTGCTTCATCAATCGAAACTGCTTCGCTAGTTCCCTCTCTCTGATCAGAATTGATCTCGATAACATAAGAACTCATTACTTCATCTTCATCTTCATCCTCATCCAGTTCCATTTCTTCTTCTAGCATTGTATCCCACTGCACACCAACTTTTGCCTCTGGTTCATGACACAGTGAAGAGACAGGAGATGAAGGGGAGTTGAGTTCTAAATCATCCACAGGAACTTTGATGCTTCGGAATGAATGGGGTTCATGACTAATGGTTTCTGGGGATGAGACCTGCCGTGAAACTCTAAAACAAGAGGAGGAGCTTCTGAGATTCTCACTAATGGATTCATTTTCCATGTAATATGCGTCAGTATGATTGCATGTAAAAGATGGCATATTCCATTGTATCCCAGCGGGTTGTTCTTCGGGTCTCGTTGTGGTCGAGTTCCATCTGTAAGGTACATTGATTGGCCTATGAACATATGAAAATATTAGCATTCTTCATGCAAGTTGCAACATCTAGCATAGCTTAATTAATTGTCAACGAAATATGGAAAAGAAAAGTTGGGACCAGTACTCCAGGTCTAATGCTGATTGATTGAATATGATTCGTAAAAAATGATTCTGAAGGATTTAGGTAAAAGAAAGTTGAATAGCATATATAGCAATGTGTAAATTGTTCAAAAGTATCTCCATAATGCTTTCCTAATAATTCCATCAAAAAAGAAAAAAAAATCATAATAATGATAATAATAGTGTGTTGCATTTTTCGAAGAAATTATTGAAAGAAGAATTGTGTAATGGTGTTTGCAGCGAAAACAATGTGTTGCATGTTGCCATTCATGCGGTTTTTCTTAGAATCTGATCTTGTTAGGTTTGATTCAGAATTGGGGTTGAGAAATGATTGGTTTTATATTATGGAAGAGGGGCCATGAAAGGCTTTTACGAAGTCGCTATGCTATACTATACCTGAAGTTTTCAAGAGCGAGGATGGGGCTGATTATTGTTTTGAAGTTTCAGAGTTTATGGTAGGGTTACACATGCTGGACAAATAGGAACAGCTGAAGTATTTATCTTGGACGAAAAACGATTCTTTCTACCTTGTTAGTTTACAATTATAATTTTGTTGTTGCCTTTACGTTGAATATTCTCTTTTACAACAACAATATTTTTGTCTGAATTTTTTTTTTTTTGGGATTTAAGTTACTTTGGAATATAAGATATTTTAACCTGAGATTTATAATAAACAGAACAAATTGGAAAATAATGAAGGTGGAGTGTTTGGGTCTCTCTCTTCTTGTTTATTTCTAAGTATTATTTATTATTTAAATTATTTTTATTTTTTAATTCAGATGAAAATACTGTTTTTTGGAACACATTTTGTCATATGTTGAGCAATAATTAGTTGAATGTATCATGTCAGATAAATAATTAAGTATAATTATAATAAAAAATTTGAATCAACAAATCTTTAAAAATAAAAAATCTTTCTCATCACGAAAATTTGAAGGTCCAATAAAAACCTAAAAAAGTACATTGTTGAAATGTGAGGAAAACTTATTTTTAAAAAAATTAAAGGAAAATTGATTTTTATTTATAAAGTGACAAAGCCCGGAACCTAGCAGAAACAACTTTTCTAAAATTAATTGGTATGTAAATTTTTATTTTGGAGTTGTATAGATTAAAAAATTAAAAATTCATTGGTTTGGGAAGAAATTATTTTATAAGGTTATATATTCAGTTTTATATTTGAACAAACATATTTATATTTAATATATTCACATTATGTAAAATTATATTATATATCTATAAAATGTATGATAATTTTTTCCTTTAAATTAATTGCAACCATTGCTTGAACAGCTACTTTAAGCAAACTCTTTTCTTTTCTTTTCTTTTCTTTTTTTCCCCTTCTTCTAATTGTAGTTACAGCCTGTAATATGATTGGTTTTTTTTAAAAAAATCAAATTTATGATATCATATTGTGTGTGTATATAAAATCTTGTAAAACATTATTTTTTTATAAAATATTTTTTTATGTAGGAAAAAATTCAAAATAAAAGTTTTCATCCTAAAAAATTCAAATGGATTAAGGGCGATAGGTTGGACTGACTTAGGTATGTTTCCTTGCTTTTAATGGAAGTTGTTGCAGCTATCCTATGTATTTTTTTTTTTTTTACCATTTCTATCATGGTGCTTAATAATACGAAAATGTATCACTAAGTAATTATAAACCAATAAATTAGTATTAGTAGAGATCTTATATTTTTAAGAGGCAAAAGTTGGATGGATGGAGATGAAAAGTGTTGATAATTAAAATAAATAAATAAATAAAGAACAATTTTTTTTTTTTTGTTTCTTCATCAAAGATTAGCGTAAAAATATGCATAAAGAAAATCAGGCATCTAACATCAATTATGGACTAATAAATTAAATGATATGATAATGTCAGGTGTGAGTTAAAGGATTGGGGTTTAATTGGAATGTAAAATTTATTTATGGGTTTAAGGGATACAAAAGTAAGACTTTGGAGGGTTTTTAAGTAATTATAATATTTTTTATTTAAAACTTCAAAACAATCTCTCTCCACTGCCTCAAGAGAAATATTTTTATTCCATACTTTACCCCCGAAATTACAGAAGCCTAAAAGTGAATAGCGTAAAAAAGGGCATTATTTTCAAACGGGCAAACCTGAAAGAAACAGTTAAAAAGGTTTTTTCTTTTGTGGGGAAAGAAACAGTTAAAAGTTGGTACCTGAGCTTTGAAGCAAAAGAAGACAAGGCAGCGTCATCTCCTGTCACCGGCCGCCGTAGAGGACTGAGCTCCTCCGAACTTAGTACTGACGAAGAGTTGGACTTGGACTTGGAGTTGGCTCTTGACCGTTGCCTAGACCTCCTGCCCTTCTCCGAAAACCCAAACACATCACTATAGAACCCTTCTCCCCTGGCCGGAATCCTGAACGCCGGCAAGCTACGCCCGCCATTCATTTTCCCTGTAGACACAAAATCCGTAGGTGGTAGGAAAATCTCCTGGTAAAAGGAAGAAGAAGAAGAAGAAGAAGATCTGGTGAAGTCAGCGGAGAATTTGCGAGAAAGAACACTCCTTGGAGGGCCACCGAAGACGTCAGAGAAGTCGTCTGGGTCTAATCTGGCTTCCATGGAGTGTCTTGTGGTTGCAAAATCCTCCATGGACCGGCGTCTTGGGACGCTTGGCGTTGGCACTCCTATGCGCATTCTCCATGACTCGTCCATATATAATATTTATTTGTTGTTAATTAATTTTGCTGATTGATAGACATATATGTATGTGCATGTATTGCATTTCCACAACGAAAGAAAGGAAGGAAGTTGATAAAAAATAAATTACTTCAAAAGAAAGTAAAGAGGGCTGGGAGCTAAGCTAGCCTGGGACTGGGAGGTTTAATCATCATGCATGTGCTGGTGTATGTGCGTCCATATATATATATATACATATGAAGAAATTAATTAAATTATCTAGGAACAAGGTACAAGTCATTTTTTGGTCTCTTTTGTTTTGAAGTTTTATGCGTGTTGTTTTGCGGTTGATCTTTTCTTTTTTCTTTAAGGGTGGGGTGGGGTGGGGAAGCAAAGCAAAGCAAGGTGAAAGGGTGATGATGAGATGATATTAAATGATGGAGTATGCACTGGAAAATCATCATCAAAGTTGGCACTCGCATGCTTACCTGGAAAGATGTTTTTCGATGGATGGAGAGTTTTCAGTCCCCACTCCCCCACCAACATTAATTATTATTGTTCTTATTTATTGTTACCTCTTTATTCATATTCATATATACTCTCCGTTTGGATGCCTGTATATATATATATATTCTTTCATTTTTTTCTCTCTCTAAACTAAAAATATAAGTTCTAGTGTAAATTTTTTAACTCCTCGGTTTCCACATGTTGTTCCTCTGTTACATACAAGAACATTAATCTGCTTCCCAAAGTGTTTGATTCTATCAAAAGTGAAATTCTCTTTCGCATCCAACAGACAAGTGGTTTAACTCTTGATTTCTGCTTTATTCGTATCAGAGTATGTATAAATCAGATCCTTGCATGGCTGAAAACGTGCATAACATGCTAGACGTGGTAACTCTTTGTAAAGGTTTTTATACAATGGATAAATGTGTTTTTGGAATGCCTTAGTTATAAAACATCTCACGACTTCTCTTAGCCAGAAATTGAATTTTTTTTTTTTTTAGAATAATAATTTCACCTATCTTTATATAATATATGCCCGATTTTCAATCTGTTTCTAATTTCAAAAAGGCCTATATTATGTTTCTGTTGTTTAAGTTAGTTTTCAAAATATTTTTTCAACCGATTTTTTTATCAGTCAAACCATCCAAAATTGTTACATGACATATATATTACTTATTTTTTAACAAAATTACCCTTTGCATCTTAATATATTAAGTTTTTAATGAGTCCTTATATGATTGGTTGAGTTTTCAATCTATCCTCAGTACTAAAAAATTTATTATATTATTGTTATTAATTTTTCTAATAATGTGTTGTACTATAGTGAATTATTTGCTAATTAAACACATATAAAAATAATCAATACAAGTTAGTATATAACTATTTAAGAAATTAATTAAAAATAAATAATTATATTTAAGTAATTGTTAATTAGTCTCTTAAGCATGTATTTAAGTAAGTGTTAATTAGTCTCTTAAGCATGTAATTAAAAAATAAATAATTATATTTAAGTAAGTGTTAATTAGTCTCTTAAGCATGTAATTAAAAAACAAATAATTAGATTTAAGCAATTGTTAATTAGTCTCTTAAGCATGTAATTAAAAAATGAATAATTATATTTAAATAAGTGTTAATTGGTCTCTTATGCATATAATTAAAAAAAATGATTATATTTAAATAATTGTTAATTAGTCTCTTAGGCTTGTAATTAAAAAACAAATAATTGCATAATTATTTGCTTTTCGCGTACGATTCACATGTTTTCTTTTACAAAGATAATTTAATGTATAGATAAATATTATATTAAATTGTTCAATATTACACATAAGTGAATTATTATAATGATAATAATATAATCGACTATTTAACATTAAAAATATGCTAAATGATAATTTTTTGAATAGTTGTACTAATTACTTTTATGTATTTTTAATTAATGAAAAAATTTGCAACACATTATTAGAAAAAAATAATAACAATAATATAATGGACTCTTTAACATTAATGACAGATCGGAAACTCAACCCATTATATAAGAACAAATTAAAAACTTAACATGTTAAGCTACAATGGATATTTTTTTAAAAAAATGATGTGATATTTTGAGGTGATTTAGCAAAAAAAATTGACTAGAGAAGGATAAATTGAAAACTAGTTTAAATAACAAAGACATAATAGAGATATTTTTGGATTTAGGGACAAATTGAAAATTTGGCCTATTATATAAAGATATGTGAGGGTATTAACTTTTTTTTTTTAAAAAAAAAGTGAATTCTAGAAAAATGATTATCAAGAAAACGGATTTTTTTTTTATTGATTAAATATTTCAGAGGCATCTTTAGTAGCTTTTTTTTTTTTTTTTCCTCAATGCTAGAATTCTTTACACGCTTTCCTCAAATTTTTAAAGCTTTAAACATATTGTTTCATCATGATTAAGAAATAAAAAATTAATTAAAAAATAGAAATTTTCATTATGTTTATAAAATAAAAAGATAATAATAGATTAGTATTTTATAAGTTCTTAAATCTTTTTTTTTATTTTTTTCTTAAGTTTTTCTAAAATCTTAATTTCATTTTTTTTTAATCTATAAAAAATTTCCAAAAATTATAATTTATTATTCTCTTAAATAGTTTTTTTTTAAATTTTAAACGGTCAACATTATTTTTTAAACTAATTTCTTTGGTATCCTTCTTTCCCGAACTACCAAACTTCCTTGGGCTTCAAAATTACATGAAAACATTGCAAAAGTAGTATTTTTATCTTTTCTTTTTATTACTATTTTTTTTTTTTTTTTGGGAATTAACTTATAGTTTGTTAAGTAATTTTTACATGAAATGATATAAAATGATAATTTATTTTAATCATTAATTTTTATTCGTTGATACATACAAGTGAAAATTTATATTTTACCTGTTTGAGTTACCGATTTTTTGTTTCTTTTTTGTAGTTAATTTAGTCCATTAAATAATGATGTATCCATTATCTTGTGGCCTGTGGAAAAACATGGGCATCAATCAAAAAACATGTGAAAAGAAAATTGTATATTGGATGCCAAGCCTTTTATTAATTTTCTATTTAAATGTCTTCTCTTTAATTTTACCTGTTTGAGATATTGAGCTTTTTGTTTTTATTTTTTTGTTTGAGTGCCTTTTATTAATTTAGTATGTTTGGTGCTAATTTGCAGTTAACTTGTGACGCATGGTAAGAAATTATCCTTAATGGAAAAGTTGTAAAACATGGAAAATCAAAAAATAAAAAAAAAAGAAAAAAGAAAAAGAAAAAGAAAAGAAAAGAAAAGGCAAACACTTAAATTCAATGTTGTCGCTATCCAATATTTATGGAACTTTTAAATTTTGGCTATAAAAAAAGAACTAAGAAAAGGGTTTATAGTCATCACCTAATATTGAAGGAAACTAGGAAATCTAATGAAGACACTAGATTCAAAGATTTTGAATAAATAGTTGATTATGCATTTGGAAAGATAACAATCATCCAAAAACATCATTTTAAGAAAAGGTGCCGGATTTAGTTTAATCCTAAAAATATCTCATAAACGTTATGTTTGCCAAATTGTTTTTCAATCTATTTCCAAGTTTATTTGTCTAAATTCGAAAAATAATTTTTTTTAATCTTAGAATCGTATTAAATTGATATTGGACCCTAAAATTAAGAGTCTTGTCAATTTAGCATTGGATTCAATTACGTCATGACATGATTGGCATGTCTAGAAATTACCTAATTATCTAAAGGTATTTAATTTGGATACAAATGAGAAAATATTTTAAAAATTGAGTTTTGTTTTGTCAAATCATATTAAATTGACGTCGGACTCCAAAATTAGGAGTCTCATCAATTTAGCATCAAATTTATTTCGATCCCGACATGATTGACATGTCGAGAAATGACATAGTAATCTAAGGTGTTTATGTAAGATGCATAATAAAGTCGGCCTAACCTAACTCTTTAATTTTTATTTTTTTAAGGAAAAAACTAGACTAAACAAGCATTCGGATATCAACACATATTCAATTGAATCAAATATCAAGCATTTTTTTTTTATCAAATAGGGATGGTACCCTAGTAATTTTATTGATTTAAAAAGAAAAAGAATACATGGGGGACAAACCAGCCTAACCCAACAAAGTGGGGGGACAAAAAGCCTTACCTTATAGACAAGAGGACACTCTATAATTAAACAAGCCCATCATATCCCGTCTATTAACAAATTTTACATTTAAAGATACTTATGCATAACTGCTAAAATTAGTTTGTAACTTCGTTGAATCATCTCGTTCACTCGCCTATCTCGCCTCCACGTTTTGCTCATGCCAAATATGCTCGAAATGTATGATTACTCCTTAACTCTTGGCATTCTCGGATCGGGTTTGTAAATACCTAAAGGGCCTTATTAGTGTCCATAACCATATTGATAGTACCTATTGAATGAGATTCAATACTCACTAAGTTAAGATTCAGCTCCTTACATATAACTAACCCATCCCTAAGTGCTAACATCTCTCGCCTTCGAGTTAGTTCCCTTCCTATAGTAGTGTGCAAAACCAGTAATAAAGGATCCTTTAAAATCCCTTATTACTCCACCACCCGCACATAAATCATCTCTAGCTGATCCATCAACATTTAACTTAAATTTACCAAAAGTCGGTAGTTCCCATTTGATCCACTTCCCTCTCCTAACTTTTGACAAAATTAGCGTTATGCTTAACTCCTTATACCTATCACATTCATAGGGTCTTTTGGTATAAATAAACTACACATATCCTAAAGGTCCTCAATCCCTCATCTCACTATATCACCTATTATTATTAGTTCATCCTAATAGTTGCTTTACGTCGACTTTTCCATATCTCTTATAAGACAAAATAGAAAACACCAACTTGACACATACCGTTTGAGTAGTGAGCGAGGAGGCTATCCATAATTGTGCACACTCCTTTAATGAATTCCACCTATTACCACACCTAAAGATTCTCCCAAAATGCTCTCGGACTTG